ATATTATATTATATTATAAAATCTGAAAAATTTCTATTCTTTTTATTTTGTCATTTGAATATATCTTAACTGTTTCAGCGTTTCACCTTAAAGACAAAGTCAAGAGCTTTGCTTAAAGTGTTATTTCGGGGACACGGATCAAAACATTTAAAGTTATTTTATGTTTATTGACAGATTTAAATGGTCACGCCTGGATTAAAGCAGGTTAAACAGAAACCAGTGGATAAACATCTCCAGGTGTGGTTACTTTTACGTTTTTTATTGCATTTTTCAGCTAACAGCTGCAGCCAATCAGAGACACAACTCACACATGATATTATAATATGTTTGTTGTCATTTAGAGTGATTATTTTCAAATCAATAGTCTAAACAGGAGTTTATATAAATTCCTTGACGTAATAAAAAAGTTTTATTAGTTAAATCAAATCCATTTACTTTGTAAATATAGTTTAATTATAGAAACATTTACAACAAAAACACGTTTAAATGAAACATGATGAAACGGAACCGGTCCGCTTTTATCTCCAGGCCGGGCCGCACCTGAGTGACGTCACAGGCGCGCGCTCTCATTGGTTTGTCGCTTGTCTTCCCGAGCAGGTGAGACACACCTGAGTCGCGCGCACTAAAGGAGCGGCCCCAGACCTGACGTCAGGCTTTTCTCTCCTCGCGGACCGAAGTGGACCGAAGTGGACCGCGACTCTGCTCAGACACTCGGTGACAAAAGTGTGGAAATGTTCCCCCTCTGCTCCTCTCTCCTCCTCCTCCTCCTCCTGTCGGTCCCGCGGCTCTGCGGGGCCTCGGACTGCGGGAGCGACTTCCGTCCGGGCGCGGACCACTTCGTGCTGGACGCGGAGGACTCGGTGCGGGAGGGCGCGGCGCTGCTGGCCACGCAGGACGTCCCCGACGCCGCGGACTGCGAGCAGCTGTGCTGCCAGGAGCCGAGCTGCAACCTGGCGCTGCTGGAGCCGCGCGCCCCCGACGCGCACACGCACGCCTGCGTCCTGTTCGACTGCGTCCGCCAGAACCGGTTCGTGTGCCGGTTCGTGAACCAGGCCGGGTACAAGACCTACATCAGGTTGGCGGTGTTCCAGAGGTACCTGCAGGGACCAGGTGAGACCCTCGCGAGCTGCAGGAGACCCAGGATGTGGAGCAGGTTCTCCCCTCTGGCAGCTGAAACTCAGACAGGAGAAATAGTTTCGATGAATTATAAAATTATTTTGTTTACTTCTTTGTTCTCATCCAAACTGGAGCCACATCAAAGCTCCTGATAAAATAATTTATTGGATAATTTAGCAAAGAACCAAATTCTCACTCGTTTTGAAACAAAAAAAAAACTGCCTAAAATCATAAACAAGATTTTAGCTCCATTAATTAGGTGATCTGCTGAAACCAGCTGAGGAATGATGATTTCTTCTTTTGTTTTTTTTTTTAATTTTCAAATAACCTGTTAGGCCCTGCTGGGAGCCTTTAGAGCAGGGGTGCCCAAACATTTTCCCTGAGGGGGCCAAAATTAAAATCAATCTGAGGGTCAAGGGCCAAATGCAATAATATAAAAAATGCAATTACTCAAGTAAAGTTGTTTAGTGTTTAGTTGTTGTTGTTTTTTTTCAGCTCATAGACATGGAGAAAATTCAACGTATGCTCAGGCAGCAAAGGCTCATGGGAGTTTCATAATTTAAAATTTGAATATATGTGGTTTTATAAGGTATGCAAATCTATATATGAGATTAAATCTAATCTAAATGTCTCTTGTGGTTACTTATGTTTTATATTTAATCTTAACATAATTACAATCTAGTAAGCAGGACAACTGCTAGTGGGCCAAATCAAATGGCTTGGGGGGCCAATTTTGGCCCGCGGGCCCCACTTTGGGCACCTCTGCTTTAGAGGTACTTGCTCACAATAAGAGTTTTTCGTAAACACAGCAAAGTGAGGCCTGCCAAGCTGTTTAATATGGCCCACCGGTTTTATAAACACTATATTTCCACTTTATTCCAACCATTGGTCCAAAATAAATGGCTGTAGTGCAGATAGTCTTAACTCACTTAATTTACTTACTTTTTCTTTGAATTATATTAAAACTAAAAATACAAGTAACTACAAGAGACGTTTAGATTAGATTTAAGCACACATCTTTTGCACACTTTATATTAGTGTTGTAGTCAAGACCAGTATTTCCCAAAGTTGTGGTCAAGATCCAAGGTGGGGTCCTGAAAAGATTTTCTGAATTAATTACATTTTTGCCTTATTGTTACAAATGAGTGAGGTTAGTATATTTAAAATGGATAAATGTAGTATAAAAATATTGTTACTATGCCCATCTTTAGTTGGCCAAATGCAAATGTTTACCATCCAAAAATAGTTGGGGGCTCAGGTCTCTGCTACTGTTATTTTGTGGGTCAAAAGCTGAAAAGTTTGGGAACCACTGGTCAAGACCACCTAACCCAAGACCAAGTCAAGACCACAGTGTCTCGTGACCGAGACAAGACCAAGACTTTTAGGGTTTGGACCAAGACCAAGGGAGGGCGAGACCGAGACAAGACCAAGAC